GGCAGCTCCACTGGGACACTGCTGCCAGCGAGCAGCTGGTGGAGGGTTTGGTGCCGAGCAGCGCTGCCGGCATTTGCCAAATCCATCTGGGTCCTGCACCACGGTGCCTGTCCCGCCACCAAGGTGGCAGCTCGGGTCGATCCCGCTGACACCCAGAGCCCCGGCTGCTCCGGTGGGTGCCCCTCGCCTGTTTTCTGTGCTCAAGCCCTGGGTGCCTGGCAGGTCAGTGCCTGTGCGTGTGTGTCCCCATCGCCTCGGTGATGCTGTCAGGGAGGTCATTTACTGGTGGTGGAGATTTGACATTGGGCTTAGCCCAACCGGGAGGGTCTGCCCTGATGGAGTGGATGCCTCGTGGCTGCTCAGTTGTTTCTTCTTGGAGGCCAAAAAATTAAAAATAAAATCAATCTGGGCACCTTCCCAGCCCCTGGCTGCCATGGGGGGCGCCGGGGGGCCCCCCCAGCCACGTCACCACCGAGCTGAGCTGGAGACCCCGCATGCCTTTAGGTACGAATGCTGGGTTAACAACCTTCCATAATTGCTGCACCTAATGGCGAAGCCCCGCACAGGGAACAGCGAGAGCGTCTGAGCTCCAGCCGGGCCAAGTCCCCCGAGAGTTGGGTGATGCTGCTGGGCAGGCGATGGGCTCCTGCTCCCGGGGGCTACGGGGTCCCCAGGGTGCGGGGGGGCTGTGCTGGAGCAGCCTGGAGAAGTGGCCCCTGCTTTTCCCCAGAGCGCGGAGGGTTTGGGAGGAGGCAGCAGCCGGGGTGGCGAGGGCTCTCACCCGGCCCCTTCCCTCCAGCTGTAACCTGACTTGCCCACCCGGCCGCTATGGAGCCAACTGTGCCGAAGCCTGCAGCTGCCACGACGGCGCCTGCGACCCGCTGACGGGCGCCTGCCACATGGGTGAGTGCCGCGGGCACGGGTCGGGGCGCCAGGCTCTGCCGCAGGGCATCACCGGGGCTGAGCTGGGTGCCTGTGTCTTGCAGAGGCCAACCAGCGGATGGGGGTGATCGGGGCAGGAGCCCTCCTGGCGCTGCTGCTCATCCTCCTCCTCTCCCTGCTCTGCTGCTGCTGCGTCTGCCGCAAGAAGGATGAAGCCCATGGGTGAGTGCCGGGGCCGGGTGAGCTCTCGCCAGGCTCTGCTGCAAAGCCTGAGCGAGGGGGGAGCTGCGGGGCTGAGGGCAGCTGGGGACATCGGTGCCTGGTGTGGGGCTGGGACTGGTGGGGGGATGCGGGGACTGCGCAGTGGTGCTGTGGGGAAACTGAGGCAGAGCAGCCCTGCCCGCCCGGCACTGTGCGCCCTGTGAGTCCCTGGGGCCTGAGCAAGCCCCGCTGTGTCCTCAGGGCAGCACCCAGCTGGGGGGCTGATGGAGGGGCTCGGGGCGAGCCCTGCCTGGGGATCCCTTCCCCCCTTGCCTTGACTTTGTTTCCCTCTCGTGGGCCATTACTTTGTGGAGACCCACCAGGTCCCCTCCAGGCTCTGGGCGGCTGGAGCTGATCTGCAAAGGGAACCCTAAAATACAGGCAGGGCATTGAGGCGTCACCACGACCCCCAGAACAAAGCCCTGGGGTGAGAGCCGGTGGGGTGACGGCTGCGGCACTGCCAGCTGTCCTGCACAGGGACGGCCGGGGGGGGTGAATTCCTGCAGCAAGGCTGGGATTCTGGCAGCACCTTGGCAGCACCGGGTGACCTCCCGCCACCCAGCGGGGATGGGGACAGCCCGATTGCAGGGGGGGAGGCTCAGCCTGCTCAGCAATGGGTGAGCGGGCTGTGGGAGCCGCTCCAGCTGCGGAGGGAGCCTCCCCTCGTGCCACCGGCCACTGGACAGGAATTTTCCAGCAGCCTCACTCTGCAGCCCTGCCAGCTCGATCCCAGCACAGCACATCTGGCTTGGGGAGCCGGGGGGCTGCCTGGAACTACCCTGCAGATAAAAGCACAGGCACAGCCCCGCGTGGTGAAGCATCACACGGGGAGGGGGCAAATGGCTCAGCATAGATTCCTGTCTCACTGGGGGCCCGGGCCCCCACGGTGTCCCCAAGCAGATGGGTCGCCCATGGTGCTGTCCCAGCAGCGGCCCCTTGCCGTAGCATCCCGAGGGACCGCGGCGGCAATGGGCACATCACAGGTTGCCTTGCTTCAACACGCGAAGCCGCTCGCTCCTGCGGCTGCAGATAATTGCCTGAAACCTCGGCCCCAGGAGGCTTCAAAACCAGAGAGCAAATAAAGAGAAGCCACGTGTTTGGTTTTGGGTTGGGATGACTTTTTAAATTTTTTTTTTAAAGATTCAGGGTCTCAGCCTGGCATTGCGGGTGTTTTGGGGCCAGGCTGCCAATGGCCACAGCCGAATCCGGCCCTGCCATTGCCCCCTGGCTCTGCGTCCCGGTGCGATGTGTGAGCTGGCGCCCGGGGCTGGCAGCAGCCCCGGCAGGTCCCCATGCCCTGGGCACCCCCCTGCCCTAAGCACCCCCCAGGCTCTTTCACGAAACCCCCTGGCACTTGCAGCATCCCTGGGCTTCTGACTTGCCGTCTCACCCGGGGATGGCTGTCCCCACCGCGGGCGGGTGACAGTGGCTCTCTGATCTCACCCT